ACTTATTTACAATTATTGAAATATTTAGGAAAGAGATACAAATATAGAATTGAATTCAAATAAACCAATCAAATAATAACAATAATAACAGTAATAATAATAATTAGAAGAGATCAGAAGGGAAGACAGAAGGAAAAGACCGACATTTGGACTGACAGGTTTTCAAGAAGGCTTCCCTCCTTTAAATGTGACTTCTACATTACAATATCACTTGTCATTTGATGTACGTCATTCGGTCATCCTAGAGTAATCCCTTTAGCGAATCAATACCTTACATTTTAAAAATTTACATGTTCGTTTATTAGTGCCTGAAGTTGTACCCTTAAACACTATTACAGCTCCAACAAAAATTCAATAACTAAAATGGATCAAAAAACAATGCAGAATAGGCTTTGAAATCAATATTTTAGTCAAGTCTAAAAGATTTATGAACATTTTTGTGCTGTACGGGCGAGTAGTCGAACTGACGACTATTTCAAGATGTCAGAAATGTCCGAGAATTGTTTTACATTATGTGAGAAGCACCAGAGAGTTATTTTATGCGTTATTCCTCTTATATCTTCCGTCTTGTGTCTGGGATTTGGATTGAGGTGTCTTCATAAAGAAAAGAGAAACCTCAGCGATGAATTGTGCAAAGGAGTAGTAAACGATACAGCGGCTATTATATTGATTGCCTTCGGAGTTGGTCTTCTGTTTTTGGCATGGTTTGTTCATCGATATTACAGCAGAAAAAAGGACATTTTGGTGGTTGAAAATAGCGAAGAAACTGGACCATTCAATATCAGTCAAACGGACGAACTACTTGAAGATTCCCTTTGAGGATTTGCGAATACGAAAATTCACATTGTGCCACGATTTGGAAATCATTTTTAAATGGTTCAATTACCGAGAGTATGTTTAATGTAAGTTACAATGAATGAAAAATGGCTATTCTCAAAAAGAAAAAATTCTGAGCATTTTATTTGCCGGTGGGCATAAAACTGGTTTTAGTAAAGAAGACAGATTTCTGTTTTAAATTTAGCAACAAGAACGATGTTGTAGTTTTTGAATGAAACTCGTATGTCGTCAAAACAGGTGTTTATATTACAGTGTTCAAAACGAGTCTCTAGCTAAACATCATTTTAAACGCAGCGACGTCATGTAGTGATTCTAACGAAGTTATTGATTATGGCATATTTTTGTGAATATAAGCTGTTAGAAGATGGACTTAGGAGCAAGAAAGCAACTTTCTTATTCGACAGTCGGTAGAAAAATACGGACTGCTATGTCAACAAGGTTCAATTTTATGCAAAATAAGTAAAGTGCATGATGAATGATAAACTCTAAAAGAACGACTACTTTAACTAAAGCTCAAAATATAATGTACGTAGCATTCAAAACAAGACCGAGTACGTATTAAAAATATATTTGTTATTAAGGTTCGAAGAATAGTTTTTTAGTTTGTTTATAATTTTAGTTATATTTCGTTTCTTAGTAGTTTTTTTAGTACGACCTATTGTATTAAAAAGCACTAGATGTTGTTTCTAAAGAAACGGAAAACAACACAGCAAGGTGCTTTTAAAATACGCTTTTCATTCACCCAGATTCACTATTAGATTTAAGAAAAAGAAATTTCCATTGAGTGAATAATGTGCTTGTCTTAATGATTGGCATATCCGTTAAATATATTCCGGACAAAGAAAATAGACTAAATATCTAATAGTCTATTCATTTTTCACTACGGATTGGAAAATGTACTGAAAAAAAACCTGGAAAATATAGATTATTTAGCTAACGAACAAACAAACGAGCAAATAAACAAGCAAACAAACGAACAAACAAACAAGTAAACAAGCGAGCAAGCATACTATACCAATATAAATACACCTAAGCACCAAGAAACATCACGAGAAAATGCAAATATAACATCCATTACTGAAACCAAAATTAAAAATTACCCAAATGTTTAAACTTCCTTTTTTATAGCTAATTTTTATTTTCAAGATCTTATATATGGCTCAACTATAACACGTAAACTTCCAGTAGTTTCTATCAATAAGCACAAGACGACGAAAAAAGAAGATGAAAAAAGGGGATTGCCATGTTTTTCATACTTTATGGCTATTGAAATAAAAGGAAAAACGCAGGCACTTTATGCCTTCTAAATCAAATACATCAAATCTAGTTTGCCATATATATATATATTCAGGTCTATTTAGGTTTAGTCAAATCCAACTAGTGGTCTAACATGGACGCTGAGTTCTAAAGTTATAGCCTGCTAGTAGCAAAAAGTGCTGGCTTTGAAAACCAAAATATTGAATTTAACTTTAATTTAGAACTTGTTTGCATCTATATATTTGACCAACTAGTTGAATTTGACTAAAACAACTAGTCCTCTTGTCTTCATGGCGGCCTATGAATCAATAGCCCCATTCGAGCTCGAGGACTAATCGCTAAATAGTTTTTGAAATACGCCATTTATATGCTCAATAGAAACAATTATAACTCTAGGAAAATTATATATGAAATGATTCTTCTTGTTTCATTGATTTGAATTGATTCCAGCCATCGAAAAATAGTTTGAAAAAATATATATCCCATCTAGAGTGAGTTTGTCTTTCGGAGCTCCATTTTTGCTACTGCGCGCGCATGAACCTCATCAGGACCATCCGCTAGTCTAAGAACGCGGGCCCAGGAGAAGAATTGAGCCAATGGTTGGTCAGAGGACAAACCTTCGCCTCCAAAAGACTGCAAAAAAGAAAAGGGTTTGGTTAGAAAAAGAGGCCATGTTTTTGTCTTTTGTCCTTGTGCATGTGACGTCATAGCAGCCATGTTGATTGACTTAAACAAAAGATTTGGACTTTGCTGCCATGTGTTTTTTGCTTCTATTCTCGTGGGAAGAAATACATATCATAAGAATGGCTGATACGAAAACATCACGTGTTACAAATTCTCATACGTGATTGGTCGTATTTCTTAATGAATATTAATGACCTCTTATGCTCTATACCTGCATTGCTCTGTCAATAACATTCTGTGCCATCTGTGGTGCAGCGACTTTAATCATGGCTATCTCGTGAGCAGCTTCCTAAAATATAAGATGCAAATCTAGTTTCATAGTCTTTCGCTAACCAACACGTGATATAAAACGTGTTGGATTGTGTTACGGTCACCAAGAAGTTCAGATATCGTTCTCGGATTTCCGTACGAATGCACTTACTTTAAAGCAAAGTAAAGAATGCCTATTTCAACAATATAAACACTTTGGAATTCCACGGACTTATCACTGGAACACGATTCACAAATTCTCTGAGACCTAGCTTTGAGCAACGGTGAATTCAAATCTGAAGTATTAGGAGTTAAGTATTGCCCCTTGGGTACTACGGCAAGAAAAGGCCGATAATTAGTGTACAGGATTTACGTTAAAATGAGGATTATAAAATAATCAATCCATCTTTCTTCTAGAAGTGGTAATTCCTACAAGTACCTTGTTTCCCACGGTATCCATAAGATGAGCTGCCTTGAGTGTCAGTAACCTAGAATTGAAGGAAAGACCAAATAAGAAATGACAAACAATATAAATATAAACCTTTACGTTACTAAATTTACTTATTTAGACAAGAATCGCTTGCCATGTTCCAATATTAATCATAAAACCTTTAGTTTGTAATAATGGCCGCCATTTTTTGTTTTCCGCCATTTTCTTTGTTGTCCGCCATTTCGTTTTTGTCGTTGTTGGCGATTTTGTGTATGTGTTTTCTTGTTGGTCCGTCATTTTGTTCATCTCGTTGTCCGCCATTTTGTTTTGCTGTTTACAGATCCGATGTTTCGTTGAATCTTGTCGTCCGCCATCTTTGAAAGATGCGATCCTTTATAACGGTAAGTTTTTCGTTTTTTTTTACTACATAATTGAACGTAAAACCAAACCTACCTCGCTTGTTCAATCTCGATTCTCGAAGCCGCAATATCAGCAAGAATCTTGCCTTGAGTCGCCAGCGGTTTACCAAAAGCAACCCGGTTTTTTACCTGTTGAAAAGATCTGTTAGTAAACGTGTGGGATTTTGGCAATAAAATTCAACGCAGAAGAAACAAAAATATCCTTGAAAATATTTAAGTACCCTGTCCAACATCAGCTCTAGAGCCCGCTCTGACTGTCCTATTAGTCGCATACAGTGATGAATACGTCCTGGTCCGAGGCGACCCTGTAGAAATACGATATACGTAAGTATCTGTGAAGAAGCCATGTTATTATATCAGTGAAAAAAAGGGTTTCGCTAGGAGCCGACGAGGTGGATAAGTTAAAAGAGGAGATGGGAGCAGAGGAGAAGAACTGACCTCATTTGTACGTAGGGGATGCATAGTTTACCTGTGCAATCTCGAACCCTCTTCCAGGCCCCAACAGCATGTTTTCTTTAGGTACTCGAACATCTTCGAACAACACCTCGCCATGACCAGCTGCGCACAAGAAATTTATAAGTTAAACTCGTAGGGGAAATTCTTAAAACAAGGTTAACACAGAATAAGGATACGCGTGAAAAAAAGTATACAAAAATTCTTCTATATAACTGCAATATATCAACATTCCTGAAGATTTACACCTCGAAACTAGGAAATGTTGTTTGAACTAAATGACAAGGCATTCTGTGGGCCTGCGTAAAATAAAGTACGTAACATTGTCATGTTCTATGGACCAGTTACTAGGTTATTCAGTGCCTTTTGTTTACGTTTGCAGCACTCGTGAATATTGGATATTACTGTTAGCAGTAAAGCGGAGTATATCTCCCTCTATTAAGCAGATACCTCGCCTGGTGTCCGCTTAATAAAGGGTGTCAGCGTAATAGAAAATCATAGTATTGAGTATTGCGCAATAATAAAGTATTAATTATTATTACCTGGTGGGTCTTCATAGCCGAAGACGGACAAAGGACGTATTATCTTGACGCCAGGAGCGTCCATCGGAACCAGAATCATGGCCTAATGAGAACGAAGAATTGCAGTAAGTAATCGCGTAATAAGTCGTGATACATGTCCTATAATTGACACTGGTGTTTTTCTCTCTATTGGGTTACCTGTTGTTTGTGTTTGGGTGCTCCAGGGTCCGTTTTGCCCATGAAGATTGCCAGTTTACACATCGGGTGAAGAGCACCTGATAAAAATAATAAAAATAAAATATTGATAAAATAATAATGATGATGATGATGATGATGATGATGATAAATGACAACAATCAGTGTTTTAAATTCAATTTACAACCAAAATGTATCGATGAGCAATGAGCAAATCTTTTCTCTTTAACGGAAAGATTCAGGTAGCATACAAGTCACTAGCCTTTACTGCAATGCATCATGGGATGAATGTGATTGCGCTGCTGTCCCATGATCCAATGCGCATCGAAATGATCCGGGAACATGACGTAAACAAGTTTTGAATGATCAAATAATATATTACCAGATGTCCACCACTTTCTGCCATTAATAACGTAATGATCCCCGTCTAGTCGTATGGATGCCTCGATGTTCGTAGCATCTGAAGAAGCCACCTTAATGTTGTGTATAATAAAACAGAAAAGGATACGAGAAATTAATAAATGTATATCTATTTCAAGAAAAGTTGTCGGAGTCAAAGGCAAAGGCGACAAGCGATAGGAGATAGGTTATTCCACTGAGACCCAAGAATAGCAGGGTCACTCGTGTTTCTTATTATTATTGTCGTCAAGATATGAAGGTTATTGTTAAGATATTCAGTGTTTGTTGTTTGTTTGCAATCAACGAAACTATTCTTTGTAACACCTCGATTACTCGTGTTCTTGGACTGAATCACCTATCGCTTCTCGCGAATCTCCTTTGGTTCCCGCAAAGTTTTTTTGAAATATATGTGTATGGAGCAACGGGAACACAGAGGAAGGAAGCGAAGAAGAAAGAGGGAAGAGAGGACGAGAAAAACACTACGATAAAACAAGCAGGCTGCTGAAGACATATAGCACGGTACAAAAACTACCAAAATGAAAATATCCAATAAAGCATGTCATGTTTCACTTCTGTACCTACCTGCGGTTCTGTCATTGSAAAACAGGATCTTATTTTCCCATCAAGAAGAGGATTCAGCCATTCATTCTACATCAAAAAAGCAATATTTATTCATATAAATCTGACTTTTATTTCATTTGACCCATCAGCCTATATTCAATACTCTGAATAACTAAATGAGAAAAGCTAGAGATGCCTCTCTTTTACGCTCTTTGACGTATATTTATTCCATCTATGTCTTTACCTTTTGTTCGTCAGTTCCATATCGTATCAATACTTCCATATTCCCAGTATCGGGAGCTGAGCAATTGAACACCTGAAACAAGTAACATAAAGGTAAGAAACAACGCCTTCCGGTGTAATTACTCTCTCACCAGTTGCCCGTTTAGTTTTGGTGACTTCAAATACCCGTTCGCCTTATTTTGGCCGTGTTATTTGAAAGAGTTCTAAAATCTCGTTGAGCAGTGAAATATTCTTTAAAGATCATGAAAAGGAATCGCAAAAAAAGGTTTGCAAAAGATGAAGTGAAATAAAGGAAAATCATAAAAAAGTGGCCGTTTTCGCCGTTTTCGGGAAGAAAAACGGTCAATCTAAAACTCTTTAATACCTTYCTTTAACAGACTTTATGTTATAGAGTGGTTTCACCGCAACCACGTCGTATGGCGAAACGAGAATTTTGTTTTTCTTTTTGGAAACGAAATCTCTCGTCACGAAAAAATATTGCATTACACCTGCCCTACAACATGGATGCCGTGAAAGCACTCCTTTCCCTTAAGCGAGAAATACGACTGATAATAGACAAAGATATGATACTCAAGAGCATAAGTTATGAACTGAAATGGGAGAATATCAAAAAGGCATTGCCTTCTTCCATTAGATGTACATTTTTGGGACAACATTAATTTTGTTACCTCTGGTGCGAATACTGATTTTCCCATTTGCTCGCAAAGGAAAGCATAGTCCATGTTAGTCAGACCGGCGCCGTATTTTCCTTGTGGATCTGCCTCAACTGGAATGAAAAGATTCCAAAGTCCTGCTTGTTTAGCCTTTTCCTAAAACAATAATAGAATAGAACATGAATGAATGGATAGTGATGGTGAGGTTGCTGTGGTGGTGATGGTAACGATAACTGCTGCTGACGTTGACTGACAATGATGGCAATGATGCTGATGACTTGTGATCATGTTGATGATAGTGGGGGCGTTGGATGATGACCTGATGATGAATGATAATGTATGGCGATTCTAGTGCTGATGATAGACACCCCACATCGTGCCAACAGCAAGGGAAAACCCAAATTGTGCGATCAAACGCAAAATTGGATAGCAAAGCAATAGTCTTTTTTTTCATCGAAAATCCAATTCTTCCTCGTGAGAAATACTTCTATATCTTCCGTCGTTCAACAAGTTCACCATTAAGAAACATTGCAAGGTTCTTTAATACTAAACAACAGACCTTTTCAGGACTATCTTCTCGTACCTTTAACTCGTCTATTTTAGGATGCGGAGTCCACTTGTCCTCTGAACAATAGTACGTGTTCAACTCTTTTTCTATGGGTAAGATGTTCTCTTCAACGAACTCTTTAACTTGTTGATGAATGCTTTGAACTCGAGGCGAAAGAGCACTGACAGATACAGCTAACAACCCTACGTGAGATAAACGATTAGAGGGGACTGATTCGTAGACCGGGACATTGTGCAGTCTCTGCAGCATCCGAACTCATTACGATAAAAAACGACGTGCTATGATAACTAGACGATGAGTCGGCGAAAGACTCGGTGAAGTTTTTCGAAACTATTTCCACAATTGTTACATTTTTTTAAATATACCCTACGGTTGAAAGTTTTTTWAATTTCAAGATAGGTTAGCAATTCATAAAACGCTCCATTTACTCTAATTCAGACTGTAAACTCAGTAGAAACAGTGTTATTGAAAAATCTCTTTTGTTCCGGTGAAATTAAAAAACCTTTGCCAAAATGGCGACTGAAAATTCAAATGAGTTAAAATTATAAAACTATAAAAGAGCACCTTTATCTCAGTATAATTAGTTGAATTCATTTGAATTTGCGGCCGCCATTTTTGCAAAGTGTCTCTTGCGAGAAGTAAGAAAAGAGTAGTGTGTACTGTAGTTGTTAAACTGGTAAACATCGGGTAATTCACGGGTAAGTATGAATCTAATGGTACCACCATGGGCATAGACCCCTTGTGACGTCAAAGCAGCTCGATCTGGGGGACAAAACAAGAGAATTCCAATCTCCTGAGAATTGGAACCTATTTTTTTGTCCCCCAGATTGAGCTGCTTTCCAAAGTGCTTCAAGGGGTCTATTAAGCCTTAATAAATAGMTTTTATAACTGCAAAACGGCTCGATACGTGACAATGTCACAGCACGCTCATTCTTTGAGCCAATCAGAGTGCACGCACTGCTTGGGCAACCAATATACTACACGGACACGGTCACAGACATGGAACGGCACATCAACTTTGCTATAAGTGTGAAAAACCATTTGTCGTTTTGGATGAAAGGAGAAGTGAAAAACAAAATGACGAATAACACCAGTTATCTAGCAAACTATACTTCACTATTTATTGTAATCCATACAGACTACATTGACAACTTGATTCAACAGTAACAAATATAAGCAATAGTACAGAAAATACAGCTTTTTCAAGCAAAGGTATATTTTACTTTTTAGCTAATATTTCTGTTGAAACATTTCATGTTCCCGATAGCTATAGAATTCTTTGAATTTCCAATACAAATACTTTTTATCAAGTTATTTGTTAATTTATTTGTCTACTTTCTTTGTTTAGAGTGACTTTACACCCACCATGAAACAGAACTATTCGTGTGTTGTGAAAGATGAAGAAATCAAGTACAACTGTATTCCAATCCATTGCTTGACATCTAATGTCTCTTGCCCCAACGAACCAGAGTAAGAGACCTCTTATTATTTATAACCCGGGGGGAGGGTCTGTGGAGCTTTTTGTTACGACATCAAAGATTAACTAATACTCACCCTACCCCACCAAGAGGCGCTTTTGCTATCTTTTCACGATCCCTCCTCAATTACTGTTTTTCAATTATTCCCAAGAGATTGAAATAACGAAAGATATGGCGGCCATGTTGGTTGATATAACAAAAGAATTTATAAACAAATCCTGTTAAATTCCACCAAGATTGCAGCTATGACGTAACCCCCCACCCCCGGCGTCTGCTTGCCTCGCTAGTGAGAACCAGTCTTCAACCTGCATAGGCCAACACACTACTATTTCATGGGGAAATAAAATTACTCAATTTACTATTCTAAGCATAATTTTCRTTGCCTATTAGATAAGCTACCGATCTATCACCATACATAATATCCAAATGTTCCTTAACGACAAATGTTGCCACCACGAGTGCTCATATTTGGCAATAATGATGGAGGACAGTTATTGAGTACCTGTAGCATGATTGTTAGCGCTTGTGCTGTACATTCTCTTGCCGCTGGGAGTTTCTCCACTTCCGCTTGGGTTTGAGTTGTTTTCTTTAGCAGCGAACGACCAACCTTTCTCGGCCATTGTCTCAGCCAACATCCCAACAGCCTCGGCATTTTCACTGCTCGCTTGTCCTAAGAAGATGAAGAGGATATTGCTAAATTGTTTTTTTGCTTGGTCTGCTTGCTTATTTGTTTGCTTATTTGTTGTTTGTTTGTTTGCTCATTTGTTTGTTTGCTTGTTGTTTTGCTTGTTTGTTTGTCTGATTGCTTGCTTGTTTGTCTGATTGCTTGCTTGTTTGCTAGTTTGTTTACTTGCTTGTTGTTTGTTTACTTGTTTGCTTGCTTGTTTATTCAACAGTTATCTCTTTTGTGATGCCTGTGGTTCATTCAAAACAGGAATCCCACGTTACCTTGAAGAGCTCTTTTATAGACGCCTTGGAGAATAGCAGCCACTCTGAAGAATGCGAACGCCATGTAAAAGTTCCAGGTTGTTACGGGCAGCATAGCGGCTCTACTACAGTACATCTGCATGTATTGAAGATCTGTTGGGATCCCGAGGGATTCTGGGTCTCTGTCACCAAAACCTGTGCAATGGAAGATTTCAAGTATCAGAGGTAACATCTCCGAGTTAAATCTAGGTCACGTGAACTACCCCCTAAATGAAGCAGTTGTGTCAAAATGAAGCCCAAAAATGAAAAGACCAATTTGACATAAGAAAGACAGTAAAGATTCAGTTCATGTCTTAGGATGTAAGATAAATATACTGAGCATCGGATATTTTATTATGATTTGTAACGGGAAAAGTGCACTGAAGACCCTGCTGTTCAGTACCCCCATACAGTGGGTATATTCACAGTACAGCTTTATTATTTGGATTTGGATACAACTCAAATAGAAAATATTATTCTCTAGGGAATGACGCACGTGGTCTGAAATGGGAAAACATTACGCCCAAGGTAAAGAGGTCTATTGCTGCTTGGGTCTATTTTCAAAGGGATATTTTTAAGACAAACAAAAGCTGACCTCTGAGGGAAGGAAACTCAGGTGGCAGATGATGTGGCAGACAGTTGTAGGCCAGGTCAGATAAAGGGTCTCCAAGAGTRGACAACTCCCAGTCTAGAACAGCTATCACTTCTGGTTTAGTCTCGTGGAATATCAGGTTATCGAGTCTAGCAAAACAACAACAAATAACATACTCAAAATAACAATAATAATAATGTAAAATTTTCTAGGTAAATCATAAATGGTTGTTATCCCATTTTGAAACTGCATTTAATGTCATTGACGACATGACTGACGTCAAGATTTCTCTTCAATTATGCGTTTGGCCCAATGTATTATTTGGTACCAAAACTATTTTTWAATTTTTTTGGAGATGATTTCAACGTAAAGCACAAGTGCTGTAACGCGGAACGATTCAAAAATCCGAGCAAATCAATCGCAGTATATCTTCCATTAAAACCATCAACAACACATTGTATGACAGAAAGGAAAGTAACAACATACTGTATGACAGAAAGTAAAATTTTCTTGCTACTGATTGGTTACCTGTAATCCCCATGAACAACAGTTGTCTTCTCACTGGTAGGTATGTTCTCACCCAACCACGTGATCAACCTATCCATGGCAGGGATGTCACGTGTCTTGCTTGCTTCATACTGTTTGCCCCATCTTTCTAATTGTCTACGTACATAGTTACCTACAAAAAAAATTTGTCTTAAAAAATAAATAAATTTTAAAAGGGCACTCCATGAAGAAGTCCACTTTAATATAAATCTTCAAAAAAATACGTTTACAAAATATCCGGAAAATTACAATTTTCGAGAAAAATAGAGCTTCAAAATAACGTGGGCGCAGAACCAAGCAGCGGATGCTGTTTTATGAATTCATTGAATAAACTCGTAGCGACCGAAAAAGTACTAGTTAGCAAGTGTTAGATGGAAAGAGGTGTACTACCTTTTTTCCCATAATCACTGAGACCCGCTTCCTCTATATCTACACTATGGATCTTGTAGAGGACCGCGTTCATGGCTTCGTAAATTTCCTGAAATTGAAATTGAATACTACATTGAATTTGTTTCCATTTTGGAAGCTCGTGCAATGAAGTGCGCTGATTGGTAGATTCATTCTAGTACTTTCAAAGTTGAGAATAGAAAACAAAACGAAATGGAAAGGGAAAGGAAAGAAGAAAAAAAATAAAGGAAAAGAAAAGGGGAGAATAACGCTTGACCTTGGTCCACACATTCAAAACGAGCGTGGATACAGATTCTGCACTAAATTAAAGTCAGGGGAGGGGTGGGGGCAGATGCTTATGAGAATCGATAGGTTCTTGGCCCACCCCTTCCCGTACTCCCCATAGATCTGCCACTCCAATGTTTCACTAAGTAAATACCAGCGTGGGCCGATAATCAACGATGATGTATCATCCCACCTTCTTTCTGTAATGTACACGTTACATACGCTTCAAGTAGTGAAAGACTCTAATAATTCACGAGTCTTCTTATTTACAAAGACCATAGTTAGCTACTTTGCAAATAATTACCAATTACTGTCTTGATGTTATTAATCTGCTTTTATTGTAGATGTTCTAACGGCATAAAACTTGTTATCTTGGCGTGAATCAAAGGAGAAATCGGAAGGAAAACGATACAATTTGAATTAATTCGGAATTTGTTATCATAATGGGACGAATATAGGAACTTGAGACATGAATAGCTTAGATTAGCTATTGAATGTCAAAGTGTCTCGAGATAGRTGTTGAACTTATCTTTTGATAGCCGTTATGGTAGTGTCAAAAGACAAATGAGTTTAGGAAACGATGTAAAAACATTTGCGAAATATTAGTCATTGTGTAATGATTACTTGATCCCACGCCAGAGAATCAGATAAGCTATTCTCTTTCTTTTTTTCTCTTCCGATTCACCCATTTCTTTTGCTTTGCCGTTATGCTTTCACACTTTAAACTATCTGAAAATATGTCGTTTTTTAAGCACTGGGTACAGCTAACTCTTACATGGAATTGAAMTTTGTGTTGGGTTTTGCGGAGGCGCAGAAACCGGAGAAAAACCGCCCCGAATCAAGAGAGAGACCCAACAAACTCTACTCATATGTGATGCTGAATCCAAGAATCCAACACCAGACCCCAGAGGTGAGAAGTGAGAGCACTACCGATACGCTATCCTTGATGACCGAGAAAAGATTCATGCCATAGTTTAGCGCCCTTTTTCTAACATTTTCTATTTTTCTAACAGTCCTCGTCCAAGACCGTGATGAAATTAATTGAAGCTATTGTCAACTATAAACTGCCTCCTTATTCATGCTATTTGCCTTGAGGTCTGACGATTCTGTCTCGTTTGCCTTCGTAGTCTGGCAGGATAACAATTCCCGATAAAATCTTCAGTTATATGGAAATTGAAATATTTGACACGTTTTATTACATGTTGATATTTTCTCAGAAAAATGAATATATCTACGAAATGCTATCCCAAATAGAATTGATAATATTAATACAATGGGTTTATCAGATAATTATTTTTTTCCTGATAATCACTTAAAAGRTCTATTTTGGAAATTGGATTGGGTAAAATCCACCAGAGTCGAAATTGTTGTCCGAAGACTAGGAGTTTCATAAAGTATTTCTAAGTTCAGCATAAAAACGCTGGTAAAGTATTGATGGGTTACAAGCATTCCCAAGAGAGTCTTTTGTTAAATGGTACCAACATGGCCACGATGACGTAACGTGCAATCGAAGAATACTGTTGATAAAACAGTTGAAATAATTCTGAATTAAGATGTCAAGATTTTTGGGAAAATATATTCATTCTCTTGAGAAATATAAGAAGTGGGTAACATTTTGGAATGCTTTTTTGATAAAATACGGCCAATAAATATCGCATGACTTAATCATTCGAAATAAAATCTTTCATTATTTGTTGAAAAGGGCTTTCAAGTGCTCAAATGGAACTGTTGAATTAGATTTGGACAGTTTTGATAAGATATGTTAGCACCAGTCATGTTGCTGGGATACTAAAACTACACGTTATACAAGCAAGCCGAAACGGTCTTTAATATCACTAAGACGACTAACTCTCTCAGACTACAGGAACAACAGTCACAATCAAGCCAAGGTAAGTTGCAGTCGAGAAATCATTATTCCACTTTAAATCGTTTTAGCTCTGCATAGAAAGCAAGAAGACAATGAAGTTTGAATACGAGAATGTTCCTCATTCTTCATGCTTGAATTCAATGTCGTGTTGTTATTCATTTAATCTTTTTTTTCTTAGCAAAAAGTAAAATATTTATTTTGTATTTCAGGAACTTTCAAAATGTATCAAGCGTTGTTTTTTGTGGAAATTCTCCTCGTATCCTTATGCTATGGTAATATGTCACTTTCTTATTTGCGTAGAGTTTTGCGTTTGGCGACTCGGCTCTTTTGTTATTCATTCAATATACTGTATTTTGTTTTTTATGGACGAAAACTCGACATTAAATATACGAAATAGAGCGTGTTTCGTATGAGTTGGAAACGTAGGGTAATGACTTACAGCACGACACGACATCCATTCCCGTAACATTGAATTGGCTTCCCATAAGAATTCGTATGAGTGGGAAACATACGGTACTGACTTACAGCACATACACGGTACGACATGCTGTAACCTTGAAATGGTATTCCATATAAGAATAGTTACCGTATGAGTGGGAAACATACGGTACTGACTTACAGCACATACACGGTACGACATGCTGTAACAATGAACTTAAGCTTTTCATTGTTTTCCACTAATTTATCTAACCTACGAAAACCGATGTATGCTCAAGGTACTGTTATCCAAACTCCCATCTGTTTTTCCCTCAGGACAAATGCCTTTTTTCCTTGCAAAGGAGTGTGATGTTAGCCCAATGTCTCGAGAGAGGTGTGGCGCTGAAGGGATAACAGAAGCTGAATGTGCTGGTAAAGGCTGTTGTTTCTCACAAAGATCCCTTCCCAACATCCCACAATGCTACACGAAAACTTCTGGTATGTATGTGTCGAATTATTCTAATCAGAGTATCTGTTGAATGCTAACACTGGATAACTTGGCCTATTTGTTGTGTGCTTCTTCTATCTTAGTTTGTCGAAGTACTAATTATCCGTGTTCTGTACACGTATACTTTTCCTAATTTCTTCTACATAATCTTTTCTCCTTCTTTGTTTGTACCGCGCGTCCTTTATCTATAATGCATCTTTTCGTATCATGTGCTATGCCACGCGTCTCTCCCTACCATATGTTCCCTAGCTACACTGTTTTCCTATGTTATCTTCATAGTCCTCTACCAGCTCGTTACGTCCTCTACAGTTCATCTTTTCCTATCATGTGGCATCCATGACATGCCACGCGTCTGTCCTATCATTTGTTTGATGTTTCTTGTTTCTTTCCTATTCTCGGTGTTTTCCTAGAATCTTTTACAGCACATTATTCCCCTGGTATAGTCTAGTTACTTTACCGCTTCCTTCAAAGAAATATAACTATCCATATGATAACAGGTACGTGTTCAGTCTTCCCAATGAACCGAGTGGAATGTGGTCATTCCTTGCCAGAACTCGTCTGCAAGGCGAGGGATTGTTGTTACGAGAGTGGGTTAAACGGCATTCCAAGTTGTTACCAAAAGGAATAAGGCTACGGTAAGAACTACTACTACTACTACTAATGATAATAACGGATTATTCAATAGATTCCACTTGGCAGCACCATTGAAATATCTACGTGATACTGAATAAACGAAACAAATTACGACGCGACGGACGGCATATACTCAAAATAAGAAAGCACTCGCCTATCACCTTTGAGGTCTAAGGTTTAGTCCTGAATAGAGTTTATAAGGCCTCTCCCTAGGTTCAAGGGTTTTTCTTTTGGTTCTCCGGTTTCCTTCCTTCCCCAAAAGCTACCAATCGTCATCTATGACTTAGTCATGCCCTGACTTTGATATTTTTCAATGGCATCGATAAATTTGAACACCATCATTATCATGATCATGAAATGCCTTCATGTAAGAGATGGCATAGCCAATTTGCATTCATCGAGGTAACGTGTGCCTACACCTCTCGGATTATTTTACTATAACTAGAATCTCTTTCTGCTTTTGATTATCCTCTGTTTTTCTACTCAACAGACAAAATACGTTCAGATACAATGAATAAAGATTGTTACAGCCGAACTTAAAAAGAGGTTAACGCTAAAGTAAGGTTAATAATTTAAAGTTAACGTTAAATTAAAAAATCTTAATATGAATTAAGAAGTTAAAACAATAAAACCAGTTCACATTATGTACAATAGCATTTCACTCCTCCCCCTGACGGGGACAAACTAATAAATTCATTTTCCCAAATCTGGCCTTATACATCGATACGAACGCAAAACGCGCACAACAATAATTTAAAATTACAATATCTAACGAAGAAGAAAGGAAAACCGTAGAAATAGGTTCGATTACCTTGCGTTGCTGTTTGGTCATTTCTGGTAGTGCGGGGTCTTGGAATATTCTCCCACTTGTATACTCCATGATGTAGAATGGTGTACCGACAACGCTAAAAACATAAACGGCAGTGATGCTCAGACTTACAGTTTTTTCTTTAGTTTGAAATTTGACTTTTTACCCATTTACTATGTAGTAACTTCAGTACGCGCGCTCTTGGTTCAAACCCTTTACTCAATCCTCTCACTAATATACCTGATGCAAACCCTTTTCTTTATTCAATTCACACTCTTACCTGATGTCAATCAGCACCAACAACAGTCTTTCTGAAGTCTATACTCCCACCCACACAATTACACTCGATACTCATCGTACAATCCTGGATTCAAACCCTTAACTTTATCATGTCTTTGTTCGTTTGTTGGTATGTCTGTCTGTCTGTCTGTCTGTCT